TAAGCTCTAGGTCTTAACTAGGTTTCAATAGGGGAAATGGGCCTCTGTTTCGCGTACTCTTTCATATGTTGCCGTATAATAACTTCTGATTCCTTATAGTCTGGCTCACCAAATCCTTCCCGAAAACATACCGAGTCCTGAAGATTAGTTGTTTCTCTTCCTATCCAAGAGCAATATCCTCACTTTATATGCAGGGTCAAAGTGAATGTCAGTATGCGAATCGGGAACAATTAGGAAACGTTACTAAAACATAGGCAGTAATATTATAGCGGTAATTAATTGTCGTCACGAACCGTCAGGACGATATTGGTCTTGTGGCATTGTGAAGTGTAATTGTGTGCTGAACCAGCTTTATCTTAAAAGACCTGAGGAATGAGGACATTAAGATATATGCAGGCAGGGGGATGGGCCTCTGTTAGCGGAAACGTAAAACACTTCTTGGCTTATATGGCAAAAATGGTCCGACATCTCGTTCCCAAAACAGCGATCGCACCCTTCTCAATGACATCAGGTAAGTTGTTTGAATTAATTCCACACATTAGCGCCAAAAACTGCACTCAGTTAACTTCAGGCGTACTTTCGATCGGCAGGCGTCTGTGCGCAAATACACTGATTGGTCAAGAAGCACTGGACCCTGATTGGTTGTCCAACCCAGATTTATCGAGGTCGGAATACGAGCGAAAATATTCCGAGACCTGTGTCCTTCAGTGCATAACTGGTAATGTGGTTAATGTATATATTCCTCCCGTGCTGTGGCTTCTTGTTTCTCAGAGACATATTTTATTATGAAGAGAGAAGACTCGTCGGAAAAATTGAATTGTACTCGTAAATTTTCGAGCTGGTGACACCAACCCGTCGTCAGACGAAATAAACAGTGGAGAAAGTGAACTGGTCAGAATAAATTTGCTGGCGTGACAGGGCAGCCAGTGACAGGCAAGCAACTAATGTGTGAATGGGGGTGGACAGATAATTAGGCTTGGATCCGTGGCGGGGGAGGGAAGGGGGAATTGTTGCGTCTCCCTGTGTTGGAGGGTAGGCGGGATGACGAATCAATGGAACTATGGGCAGTGGGCTTAATGGTCGTCGATCCGGCATGCGGGCGGAGGTCAGTGAGCCCAACGTAGAGGTGTTACGGGTTGCAGTTGCGGTTCGCTGTGTCTGGGGGTGTAATGGGGTGACGAAATAGTGCGATTCTACATGGCCCAGTGTGGATTAGCGGCTGCTGTTAGGTCGTGGGCGCAAGTCAGTGAGCCGGGCGCGCAGACCTTCGTAATGAGCATCTAGATCGACATGGCGATTGATGCTTGTCGTGTTAGAGTGTCAGGCTTCGAGGAATTCACGAGCGTGTTTGGTGTTCGCCATGGCAACTACTTCAGTTCCTTCCCACTTGAAGCGATGGTCGCATTCAAGGGCGTGTGCAAACACGAGTGACAAAGGGTCACGTCGGCGAATGGCTAGTTTATGCTCGTTTATACGCGTCCCAAGTCGTCGGCCTGTATGACCAACATAGTCGCAAGAGCAGTTGGCGCACGGAATGCGGTAGATGACATTGGTTTGCTGCTCTTTAGGTATAGGGTCTTTCACTCGCGATAGTGTTGCGCGCACAGAGGACGCCGGCTTGTGGGCAATGAAGATGCGAAACCAGTTTAGTTGTCGGGCGATCGCTTCGGAAATACCCTGCATGTAGGGTAGCGAGTAGAATTTCCGATGTTCTGGTCTCTCATTAGAACCAAAGCCTTGTGGTTGTCTTTGATGCCTGAGACAATTTTTTACAAAGCTGACCGGGTATCCGTTGAGTCGGAATAACCGATACAGGAAAGCGAGTTCTTTCTTACGTAGATCGTCGCTGCTGCAGTACCGATAGGCCCGGTGGAAAAGGGTTCGGACACAGCTCCTTTTATGAGCCGCAGGATGGTAGCTTTCATAATTAAGAATGACGTCAGCACTTGAGTCTTTTCGGTAGACGCTTGTTGCAAGGCCGCCATCACTTCGTGTTTGGATACTAACGTCTAGAAACGGGAGAATGCCTCCTGTTGCCTTTTCGCAAGTAAACTGGATAGCTGGGAACACGCTATCCAGACTCAGGTGTAGCTGCTCAATTTCGCAGGTCTTCATGATAACAAACGTATCATCTACGTGTCTGAGCCACATTTTTGGTTTAAAGGTTCGCATAACCTCCTCTTCTAGTTGTTGTAGTACTAGTTCAGCTAGTAGACCTGATATTGGCGAGCCCATTGGTGTGCCCCTAACCCTATTTTATTATCCCTAAACGCGCCAGTGAGATCTGCAATTGTGTTGATTTAGAAAATGCACTGAGTTTAAAACAGACTGTCAGTTTGTATAGATTACAAAGTGGAATATCAGGCGGTTCAGAGAGTGATGAACACACTGATTGCAGCTTCAGAAGGCAATTTTCCCCCAAAAAATGTCTCAATGTGTCCATTTACTTAAAAGCAAAGTGGACAGGTAATTGACTGCTAAAACCCGGGTAGCGGGAAGGGCATTCAGCGTGTGCTGCAGTAAGTCCTCTCGTTGTTACGATGTAGCCCATTCCACATGCCGGGCGTCGCGTGCGCCTTTTGAAAATTATGTGAATAAATTGAAGAGCGAGCTGTGTGCTTGCTGCAAGTAGACTGAATCATCGCTGTTGTGCGGGGTTTCGTATAGCCACGTAGGTAATTTTTTTCAGGCCGAAAACGCATTTCAGAATTTCGGATAAAATTTGATGAGTTAGCAAATCTACTGTAAATGACTGAAGATTCTGATAGCATTTGTCGAGCAGCGACAGAATATCGGCGAAACACGCGTGTGTGGACTTTTGGCTAGTACCTGTGCTGTTGGTATGGAATCACCTTGTCCTAAAGCATTTGTCTTCAAAAAAAGGTCTCATTGTGACCCTTTATCGAATAAATAGATTGAACTGCAAAAACCCGGGTAGGGCATTCAGCGTGTGCTGCAGTAAGTTCTCTCGTCGTTACGATGTAGCCCATTCCACAAGCCGGGCATCCTGTGCGCCTTTTGAAGATTATGTGAATAAATTGAGGACCGAGCGGTGTGCTAGCTGCAAGAAGGCTTACTCACCACTGATTCGTAAAGCCACGTCTTTCTGCAAAGGCGTCTAACCTTAGGTGTGGACAGTTAATTGACTGCAAAATCTCGTGTAGCGGGAAGGGCATTCAGCGTGTGCTGCAGTAAGTTCTCTCGTCGTTACGATGTGGCCCATTCCACAAGCCGGGCGACGTGTGCGCATTTAGAAAATTATGTGAATAAAATGAAGTGCGAGCTGTGCGCTTACTGCGAGAAGGTTAAATCATCAATGATGTGCAGGGCTTCATAAGGCGGCGTCTTTCTGTAAAGACGATACAATTACCACGGTACTGACTGATTCCACTAGCACTCGTAGCTTCATTCGAGGACGCGGGCTATAAATTTTAATGTAAGACACAGATGAACGGAGACATGCGTCTCAGCCTACTCGCTGAGAGGCTTTTGAAGCTCATGTACATGCAGACTGTTAAATATTTTCCTACGGTGTATCCTACAGTCTCCTGGCTTGCGCACATTCAAAAACTAGCGTTGGTACAGTTCATTCCTAATGTCGCGTCGTTTTGCTAAGATGATGCAAATGGCACACGCCGCAGTTTAAAACAACTTCCCCTCTAATTCGTACATTATTATCAGATCAGAAATTTAACATGCAATACCTCTCATAAGGTGTCAATTCCGAATGTCGTAATATGCCTCTTATCTTTGACGCTAAATTCTTCCTTCAGTTTTGTTTTCCTACACTGCATACCGAAGCGCCATGCATCCTTCCTCATTGTAATCAACCGAACGGATAAATCGGATGCATCTGTGTTCATCATAAGGACTTACATATGATCTGAGGTTTCGTAAAGAAATATTCGGGTTATTGGGGTGAATGGGACTGCCGGGGACTCGATTGGAGGAAGCGATCTATTAATAGAAGCATCCTTTCAAATTTTTTTGAGCTGAAACTTTTCCCTTGACATCCAGTTGTCTACTCCATTTGGAGACCATAAGATCTTGAAGAAGTTAACACGATCGCTGGGACAAGAGCTTTATTAGCCTAACGTTTCTGATTCCTGCTGGAACCCATCATCAGAGACAAAAGTAGATACGGGTGGTTCATGCGCAAGGTGCTGCCGTATTCATAGGATGCAGTCACCATGCCACCGCATACCTATGAAAATTCAAGGCTCTCCCCTTCATTGGGGATTGTTGCACTTGGTGTGAGGACTGTTTGATGGCCGAAATTCGCGCCGTTAATTGCTGCAATTTCATCACGTGCGTTGGATGTTGGTGTGATGATTGCTCGACCATTTGACGCACCGACCCTAGTTTTGGAATAACTGTTCATCTGTGCGCTCCCCGCCTGGCCAATATCTCCGCCTAGGCGAAGTCTAATAGAATGGGTGCCAGCGAACCATGACTCAAGCAGCTCCCGGCCCACGCGGTTGTCTCCTCTAACTCGAATTTCGGCCTTTTCGAATTCGAATGTGTGGCCGGATCTCGTCGAATGAACCACAACTGCACCAGATTCGACAAACGACTCCAGACGATTCTTGACGTGGCAACGGGTCTTTCAGCTTTACTGTGGCGGTTGCTTCCTTTCTGTGTGCAACTTCAACTCCAAGTGGCGCATAAGACCACTTTGTTCAAAAAATTGCGTCAGACTACTCCCAGTAATGTGTTTCTACGACATCTTCTGAATATCTGACGTGATTGTTAAAGGTTTTGCGCATCAGTGATTTCCCCAATGTCGGAGTAACTCCAAGCTAGCGCATTAATTTCTAGAGAATATTACAAAACTGAAATTTCGAAACTGGATTATTTACCAGAAGACGTACCGGGAACGCCGATTTCCTCACAGTGGCAAAATATCGACCAAAAACTGGTCTGGACCTCTAGTTAGTATGGTTAATAGAGTAATACACACTCTATTCCATTGTCTCCGACGTAGACTCGTAAAGAAGGACATGCTGCAACATTTTCACAGCCTGCTCAACGCAGTCTTCCCGGATATAAAATTCACGAGAGAAGAAGAACAGGAGCAGCAGTTGCCCTTCCTGGATGTGCTCGTCAGAAGAAACCTTAACGGTGAACTTGAAACGACGGTTTATAGGAAGGCAACGAACACCACACAGCTTCTCAGTTTTCACAGCAACCATCCGGTGGCTCACAAACGAAGCTGTGTGAAGACGCTCTTCAAACGGATCCAAACTCATTGCAGCAAACTGGAAGACAGAGCGCGTGAGGCCCGTTATCTCCGCGACCAGTTTGTGCAAAATGGCTATCCGAGGGCATTCATAAGTCGCTGCCTACGCGGTCGCCACCAGAGAACTCAAACATCAACGCCACCGACGATATGGCATGCTCTGCCATACATCAAGGGTGTTTCAGAAGCGACCGAGCGCATTGCTGCGGAGCTAGGGGTTGGAATCGCACACCGCCCCAAAGCCACCATGCGCAACAGGGTCATGAAGATCAAAGACCGGTTAAAACCTGAAGAGCAATCTGGAGTAGTGTATCGCATTCCGTGTCAAAATTGTCCTTGTAATTACACAGGACAGACTGGACGCATGCTCGGATCGCGCATACATGAACATAAGCTGGCTGTGCGGCGAGGCGACGCATTGTCACAAGTGGCCGCCCACACCTACGAAATGGGTCACGAGTTTGACTTCGCTGCCACCAAAATAGTCGCCCACGCCGGAAACAAAACAGGCCGAGAATTGATTGAAGCCTGGGCCTCGGATGAGAACTCGGTCAATCGATTTATCGATCTGGCGCCGGCGTACAGAGCCCTTCGTAGTCACCTCCAGTCGTGCGACGTCGGTCGATGATTGGGTCTACGTGCCTTATAACTGCCGCTTGTCCTGTTTCTGCCACTACCTCTGACGATGGACTCCTGCACGAGTCTGAAAGCTCAGGATAATAAACGAATTGTTCCGGTGCTCGACTCTTCTTCTTCTTCAAATACGTAGACTCTTTTCCACGCAGATTCGCTGCAGCGATTTCTGACATCAGAAGCTAGCATGCTTCTTCTCTACACTCGAGAGCTTAACTTCATTACCTAAGAAGGCGTTATGTTATTACCGACAAGGATAAAGTAGACTGGAATAGCTATTTCGGGCTTATTAGCCGTCGTCAGCCAGTCACACCCAACCCCAGCAGCGGCTGCTGGGGTTGGGCTCGAAAGAGAGAGAGCCGGTAAGGCACAACGGAACGAGTGAGTTCCGTAAGAACGATCAGTGAGCATAATTCAAATGTTTGTCCCAGTACTGTGATGGACGTCATCTTCTACTGGGTACGCGGCCAGTTCAGCTTGGACTCCTTATCCCAAAAATGACAATGGTTTCAAGTCGTAGACGGCACATTTCGAAAATAAATTGCTGTCTCAAGCGAAGGACAGTCAGTTAAGTAATCCTGTGATTTATGCAGTACCAGTGTACATGTCTACTGGGATATTCACTAAGATCTATTTGTTTTCGCAGAACGCTCAGTTTTACAATAATTCTTATAGACAAACAGCATAGTTATAGCCAATTGAATATTCGAATTAACACCTTGTATGGCGGAGTTGCCCCATTTAAACGTAAAAAGCCCCACTAGGGTGTTCTCGACCCGGTGGCTGTTATGTTTGGCGTTTAACTGCGTAATGGTGGGATTGTAGGACACCAGGTAGATGACGACTCCAAAAATAAACCCTAAAATTCAGTGTGACTGTATACATCACTTCTTACTTGCCGTTCCCATTGGTTGAAATCGCCTTGTTTTACTAACTAAATATAAACTTACCAGCGGTGATTTATTCAAAACCGCTGTTTCTTCGAAAATTGCCTTTTTGCCTATTCTTTAAATTGTCGTGCTCACTTTCCTTGCCAAATTACGGCGTATTAAAAGTTTTTCGGCAGAAATTTATCGATTTTCTGTATCTTCTTGCATTCCGCCTGCTCGCTGTTGCCCCCCATTCAAAGTATGACTCGGTTCAGAGGCTAGTTCAAGTTAATTAGGGTCCTTAATCATACCGTTCAAGTAAGTTGGGGTCCTTAACCCTACCGTTCAAGTTAGTTGGGGTCCTTAACCCTACCGTTCAAGTTTAGTTGGCGTCCTTAACCCTACCGTTCAAGTTAATTGGGGTCCTTAACCATACCGTTGCCCTTACTTGAATGTTTATATA